AAGTATCAATTGTAATTTTTCAAACTTCTATACATTTTTGTGTAGGTCCACGACGTCGTGGGATGTTATTATTCTAACGGAGTGTTGGTTATGTGATTACAAACCTATTCCAGTGCTAGACAATTATGAATCTGCATTTACCAGCAATAACTTTACACAAAATGAGGGTGTGGTCGCTTATTACAGAAAAGGTCTTTCCCCAATTATTGAAGAACCGCAAATAGCTGAAGCGAACTGTATTGTCCTGAAAATAAACCCAGAAACTTGTATAATAGGTATTTACCGTCCCCCTTCTCATACAAATATAATCAATTTTGTTACCTCGTTAGATACGTTATTGAATACACTCTCCAATTGCAAAAATATTATCTTGTTAGGGGATCTCAACATAGATATAAGACCAAATTCTTGTGATAACAGACGTCACCAATACCTAAATCAAACGGCCAGTCATGGTTTACTTCCAGCTCACACTATGCCAACCCGCGGTCAAACGTGCCTGGATCATATCCTGCTTAAAACAAAAATGCAGTCCACCTGTCTTGTCTTAGAATCTTCAGTCACGGATCATTATTGTGTAGCACTTAACATCTCTTTGAAAAACACTGTAAATTCCAACATCAAAGCATTTAATAGAATTGACAGAAACGGCCTTCGTGATACCTTATGTAAGATCGACTTTTCTCCTATTTTCAACATGAATGATGCTAACGTTGCTGCAAACTTTCTTACCAACAACTTGGGACATGCAATAACATCAAACACGAGGATATCATCAATTCCCAAAAGAAAAAGGTTTAAAAAGCCATGGGTGACACCTGCTTTGCTGCGATGTATGCGCATTAGAGACCAATTACACAAAAAAGTTAAACAGGACCCTTCAAATAGCGATATCTTAAAAATCAGTTATAAAAGGTACCGAAACTTCTGCAATACCCTTCTAAAAAAGGCGAAGAGAGATTACGAACGATCTCAACTGCAGAAAGCTGGCAATGATCAAAAAAAGGTTTGGTCAATAGTTAAGGATGTCGTCTTTATTAATAAAAGGAAAGATCTATCATCTAATTTAATACAAGATGATGATCCTAAAGGTAGTGTTGACAAAGTCAATGAGTATTTTGCCGGAATTGGTGGGAAATTGGCTGATAAATTGACCTCGAAGTTTAGTGTAGACAATTCACTTCAATATAATGACAGTACAATTAAAATGGCAAGATCCTTTTGTCTACTTCCCACGGATACTGACGAAGTATTCAAACTTATTATGGCTCTCAAAGATAATTCGGCAGTGGGTATTGATATGATACCCCCTTGGGTTCTAAAAGAATACACTAATATGTTAGTTCCTGTTATAACACATATTTGTAATCTAGCTTTAAGTTCGGGTGTATTCCTTCAATGTTTCAAAATATCTTTGATAAAACCCATTCATAAAAGTGGTGACGGAGCTAGTGTCGAGAACTACCGCCCCATCTCGATACTGCCGGCACTCTCAAAAATTCTAGAAAGGATAATAAATAAGAGATTAGTATGTTACCTTGATTCTAATAATATATTATCGAGTTCTCAATTCGGCTTCCGTGCCGGCAAATCGACTGACGATGCTGTCCTAGATCTCACAAGCACCCTTATAACTAATCTAGATAAAGGTAAAAAGAACGCAGTGATATTCCTAGATCTTGCTAAGGCGTTTGACACGGTTTCAATACCGCTCCTTTTACGGAAACTTGAGTCAATAGGAGTGAGAGGGATCCCACTCCTGCTATTCGAGGATTATTTAAAAAATCGCTTTCAAAGGGTCAAACTTGACAGCCACATTAGTAAAGACCTGCCAATAACTTTTGGGGTTCCCCAGGGAAGCATCCTAGGCCCGTCGCTTTTCATCCTATATATGAACGGACTTTGCAATCTTAACTTGTGTCAGGGAAAAATAATTGCATTTGCGGATGACACGGCGTTATTGTTCAAGGGGAATACGTGGGCTGAAGTTTTCAATCTTGCACAGATGGGTTTTAACAAGGTATATGAGTGGCTACAACATAATTCCCTTACTTTAAATGTATCCAAAACCAAATACATGGTATTTTCATTAACGAAGAACTCCTTGCCAACAATGGGATCTATTACTGCCCATTGCTGTGACATATCTAAAAACTGCCAATGCCACTGCCCACTTCTCGAAAAAACTGAAGTAATCAAATATCTCGGTGTCCACATCGACTGCCTTCTAAACTTTAAACCCCACATTGATACTCTAGTGACTAGATTACGAAAATTAATCTTTATATTTAGAACCCTTAGATACATAGCCGATCGTAAAACTTTAAAATCTTTTTATTTCGCTCTTTGTCAATCTGTCATTGGCTACTGCATTACTTCTTGGGGTGGTGCAGCGAAGACTCATATCATTGAGGTAGAGAAAGCTCAACGTGCCATACTTAAAGTGGCTGCCTTCCTACCATATCATTTTCCTACAACTGAACTGTATAAGACATGGGAAGTTTTGACAGTCAGAAAAATATACATTCAACAGATCACTTTAAAAAAACATTCAGAATTGGCATTTGACCCTATCTTATTTAAAAAATATAAAAGAAGGAAAAACAAAGTCTGCAATGTACCCCTCTGTAGAACTACTACAAGTCAAAGTCACTACTACTATCTTGGACCCCATTTGTATAACAAAATTAACTCGTTTCTTTCCATTTACCCATTGTCAAAGTCAAAATCTAGGTCCGCAATGCGTAAATGGTTACTGACACTTGATTATGAAAAAACTGAAAGACTCCTCACACCCCTCAAATAACTGAATTAAGTAGTAACACAAAAACATTTACCTCTTAGACGCATACATTAATACATAAATAATTACACTTGTTGTTTTTGCTCACTAGTCCTTAACATAATGCGATATATTATTTTTACTTACTAGCATGCTTTATTTCTTACTCTTACTTGATCAAAAAGTGCGATTATTGCTAAATATTCCATCATTACTGAACTCGGATAACCATGCATCTTCTGTATTATACATATCCTTGGGATGAGACCTGGTGACCTATAGGTCAGGTTTATCAAAACCTCTGTTAGGCACCAGCCTCTCACAAACTGAACAACTTGGTTTATTGTTAATGTATGTTCGTAGCAAACGTTTTGCAGTGCAGTGTCGGACCATCGAATTTGTCGGATTATAGAGTACTGTCTAAGACCCCCTATAGTTCGGATTTTTTTACAAAGGAGTACCTTGTAATTCGACATATTATAGTGTTATAAGTGCTCTGAAGTACAAATCATACTTCATTATGTATATCGAATCTAGTAGGTAAATTAGACAACATAATATAGGGCTTATGTATTAATATAATGTAAAAGTGATGTCATTAATGCTAGAACTTACAAAAAATAATAACTAACTTACATAGGTATTAAAATGATTTGAAATTATGAATTAAAAATTGAATCAACCAATTTATGAAGCATGAAAATATTCTTTATTTTTTTTTGGTCATTAATTGTAAATCGCCCTACGACGTATTCACTTGTCAAATTACTGAAAGATTCATTTCGATTTAAGTGATCTAAAATATCAGATTTTTATTTAATTGTCAGAGTTTTGTGCTTTCACTTGTGGGCTTGTGACGACATTACTAGGTACATATAGGTACGTAATACATAATGAATAAACAGTAGGTAAACAATGAACGCACGCACGCTAGGCGGCGGACCACTATCACCTGTAGTCAAATTCATACTAAGCAATCCGAATCAAAACAAAACCTACGCGTCGAGCGCAATAATGGGGGCGCGCACAAGTTGTGACCTGTTCAATCATGCATTACGTATCTACCTAAAAATATTCGGACATGTCGGATTACAGGGGGCGCCGGATTAGACAGGGGCCGGATTACCGGGGGTCCACTGCTTTCTAATCAACTGTTTACTACTTAATCAGTTGATTAAAGACATTTTTGTATTCACCACACACTAATCAATTGATTAGATCTTTAATCGGCCGATTAACTTAATTGAGCCCTACAACCCCGTTTAAACTTTGATTATATTGACTTAAGTCATTATTTGACGTCCTTTGCTCTGTGTTTATAACTTATCAAATAAATAAAAGTAAAATGCAGTCAGTGTTTAATATTCTTAATAAATTACCAAGAGTATTGGGATCTACAACTGCTTGAAAACCTGGATGAATATACCTATCATAGTGGCTGCTGCAGTTTTACATAATATATTGCAAACGAGAGGTGATGATATACCATCTTGTGATTAAACGGTAGTCTTGCCAGTGAAATGGGAAGATATAGTAGATCAAGGAATAATAAGACAACAGTGCTCAGTAAACAGTGGTACAAGAATAGATTTAAATCCAGTTCGAAGCTCAGACCAGAGTTCGAAGATTATTAATGAGTAAATATTTTGAGTCTCTTATGAATCAATAATGTAAAAAGGAGTTGAATTTAATAAAACGTAATAAATTATGAAAAGCAAACATTTTATTAAAACCTAAATACATATATTTATAAGAAATAACGAATATTGTGAACTCGTACGTCTTTATATCTGAGTACCAATTCTGTTAATATGCGCTTCTCGTCGCTCATGAAATTTGAGGTGCGCTTTTTGCCATTTCGACAAACTATTTATCTACATTTAATTCAATTTCTTCCTTTTTAATATCTTTTATTATTTCATACGATACGATACAAATGAAATAAATTCGTTTCCAGTACGAGCTTATTGTTTTGACATTCACAGTTTGACAGTGATACTCACTTTTTTCTTTGTTCTATGTGCTCTATTATTTTGAATTTATAGGTTGACCAAAGTTAAAATATATTGATTTATATCGTTCCTGTTAAATCATCCGTACTCTCACTCGTATTTGTTAGTATTTTTATTATGCTGTTACATTTAAGTGTCAATATAAACCGTGTCGTATGAATACGGCAGAACTACCTACGCAACTGATTAGTGTATTACCATTCGTACATTCATTTTAAAAAATAGATAATCGGTTGATTTGGAAATCGTAATAAAATTTACCTGGTGAACATTATTTTTTTAAATTGCTGTTTAAACAACGGTTACAATTTCATAGACTGTTTCCTTAATCAATGTTTAACCGACTGTCGGTGAACTCCAACCCAATCAGCAAGCGTCAGGAATCTCTGGCACATTTTCGTGACGAGCTCTCGAACTATTAGAATGTGTGTACCCAGACCGCGGCCAGTTCGCGGTGGGCTCCCTGTCGCAGTACCTGGGCTGCGCGGCGGCGGGGTACCGCGCGCTGCCCCCCGCGCCCGCCGCCTGCCTCGGCGCCGCCCAGCGCGAGCCCGCCACCGCCCCCTCGCCCTCCCCCTCCCCCGCGCACGCCGCCGCGCCCGCCCGCGCCCCGCCCGCCCCACACAAGGTAACTGTACCCGCGTACCGACGTCATCTCCACCGCCTAACTCTCTAGCCTTAATAGGGATGATGACTAATTTTTGTTTGTTTGTCCGTCAGGTAGAGTGTTTAAAAAATATTAAACACGTATTTTTTTCGTAATCATAAAATTACGGCGTTACATGGAGTTGAAATTTCGCATGACGTCACGTTAGAGTACGTTTTCTACTCAACTGTGACGTAGCGAGCCCCCACTCCTCAACTTTAATGCCTGTTATCTAAGCTATTCCTTGTTAAATTGAAGTAAAAAAAAAATACGTGTCTAACATTTTTCTATTATCTGACTGACGGACTAAATAGAATTGCATTTTTTTTACCCAGTCATCATCCCTATTCTAGCCATCGTTTAATTATTCTGTATCGTTGGTTCGTCGATCCCAAACTAGATTTCAAAGTAGTAAAATACGACATCTTATCCATGTTGTGAGGCTAGAGAGTTAGGCGGTCGCACTCCTGATTTCCGAACTATACTTTCGATCTGGATATACATAATATATCCGTTTTCTTCAATAGAAAGATAAGAGTTTCTACTCCGAGCCGGAGTCGAGCGGTTCCGCTTCATCGTCGTCGTCGTCTACCAGTTCCAGCGGCTCAGAAGAATCTTCAGAAGAGTATGACATTTATCATATTTTACGTAGAGCATATTTGAATTCATAAACAGACTTTATAATGTATATTGACTCCAGGTCGATATTAATTTATTATCTTTCAAATTATACTCGATATTTGTAATTATTATATATTTTTGATATTTGTAAGACATTATTTCTACGACAGAGAAGAGAGCGCAAACGAAGAGAAAAAGGAACAGAAATCGAAGCAGACCAACAACTGTAGGTCGTCCGATTCCGGCACCTCGGACAGCGAGTCGGACAGTGACTCGTCCGAATCGGACAGCGGGTCGGACGGCAGTGAACGAGACAGCAGCACTGATGATACATCCAACAAGAATGATAGGAAACTTAACAATAATAAAAAGGTCAATTAAAATAGTTTTTCGCAATACTTGTATTTTTGTAGTGACAATAGGGATTATGTATCTGATTGAAAAAAGGGTTAAACATATCATGAACATGACTGGTTTAAAATAATGTCTGTGTAAATATGTTTTTATATTATTTCAATATCTTCAAGAAAATTATTATAAAAAATAAAAACATGCGGTATATACTCAAACGCAATGCCATTGGTTAGAGCAGATGTGAAGACGAAGTCTACTTAAAGGTATACCGGTATTACAAAGTCAACTTCGATGCAAGAAAATGTTTTTGGCATTTATGCTTATTTAGCCAATTTGATGAAAATATTAATAATTAAAGTGTTTATAATATTTTTAGAAAAATTTATTAGTTGTTGATCGATTGGTCAAAATCTGATTTAGAAAGTTACTATATTTAATAGACATTGTTGTCACGACAAGCGCGCCAATAATTTAGTGCTGGGTGTTGTTACTAATTTCATAATATATTTTTGTTACTATATTGGTTTTCGGCACCGGGGTTTCTTTAAAAAAATATACAATGATATAGATTTTGTCATATACATTTGTTTTTTAATTGTGCATATATTTCCTATTAACAATCAATTGAGTGAGTGAATGTAAGTCACTTGAATACCAGGTGTTTTGTTTATCACATTACAAAAAAAAGTTGTTGTTTTTTTTCACAATAAGTTACCGTCCGTCGGTGTCTGTGTCTTATTGACAGACATTGACATATATCTGTTAGCTTTGACGTTCTAGTAAAGCATTTCCAGCAGATATGCACCGACCCTAAATTGAATGAATTATCTAAAAATTCCAATGTAATGTTTTATAATGAAGAAGTCTTATGTTCGCAGGAGATATCAGTGCAACCTTTGGAGACATCAAAGAAGAGCAATGACAAATCTAATCTAGAACTGCTCCTAGAGCTGGAGGAGGCCGCCAGTAGTCTGCCCACCATGACGCCCACTTGCGGCGGGCTCATCTCTCCGCCCACCACCCCGCACGATGGTGAGACAACCTCCAATATCACCTCACCAATATCATCACTTAAATCTACGGTTAACATAAAAACACACACACACACACACAAAAAAAAAATACATAATCCGACATACTTATGGGTGGCAATTTCAAACTGCAATTGGAAACAGGATCGATGGCTGCCGAGCTACTTATCATAATATCTCGGTGAAGTTGGAGTAAGTGTTATTTCTGACTTTATGTCTCGCTTTTCTGTGGAGATTCCACAAACTCGCACCAAGCGATTCGCCTTTACATTCATCGTTCTCTGTTTCCGGACAAATATAATCTGGGACTCTTCTAGTCCTGAATCGGTTCCTTCTAGGCAAGCACGCTCCATCTTAGACCACATCGCTTACCATCAGGTTATCTGTGGTCAAGTGCTTGCCTATCTAGCATAAACAAAAACCCTCATTTAACGCGCGGTACAACTGGCCATGAGGACCGATGGTTTGGCGACGTGTATTGTGGTGTGCCAGGCGAGGGCATAACGCCGGTGGGCGGGTCGCTGGTGCCGGGCGTGTGGCACGAGTTGGCGTCACGCGCCGTGTGGGGGGGGGTGGGGGCGCGGTACTGTTGGCCGCGCGTCCCGCATCTCTACTCCAGGAGTATGTGCACGGTGCATATACAGTTCAACAACTACGGACAAAATGACGTCACCAATATAAGGATACATAAAAAGGTGAGCGCTTCAATGATTCATTAGTCGAGTATGCTTTGTAAATTTTATTTCTAAAAAAGAAGGAAACAATAAGCATTGTATTGTTTATTACAAATTTAGTACTCTTGTTGGTGATTTTATGTGTTTATCATATAAATGGATATTATTTTTTTATATTTTGAAGCAAAATTTGAACCCTATACATGTAACTTCACTCTACTGTCAATATGTCCGTACTCAGCTAATTTGTCCCGTAACTTAGTTGTGAGTTGAAATTCGGTATCATTAATTGAAGGAATTTTAAAGTTTTGTGTATTAAAGAATCATATATAATTTATTGTTAACATCTAACTGTAACCAATTTTGAAATAAGTTAATTAATTTTAAATCATATTAATGGTTTAAATAATAGTACAATACTTAAAAAAACAGAAACTGCCGACTTATATTATCCATCATTATCCATCAGACAACTTGAATTAGAGTGTGAATGCCTTGTACGCAAGCTGATTTATTTTCGAAATACATGACTGGGATAGGGTTATTAAAATGGACTCGAGTAATTATTAATTTTAATAATTTTATAGAGATTTTATATGAAAAAAACTGCGTAGTATAAGATAGTAAAATATTTGTTTGTAAATGAAACTTGAGAGGACTTTATATAGCAAGAGCCGCAGGTTGCCGACCCCTGCTTTAGGTGATCAGTATTTCCGAAGATAACTCCCTACAAATAAACAAAGTTAGAAACTTTACTTCTTTATAGTACACTAGCTTTATCTCCCTGTTTATTTGCATATCGATTTATATCATGACACCGATATAATTACAATGACAAATTGAATAGTAAACAATGGTTACTGTGGTAACGTTTTAATTCCCTATACAAACTTCCACTCCCTTTTTATCAATTTTATTGCTGTTTTTCGGGATAAAATATAGCCTATGTTTACCGCACTTAATGTAGCTTCCGGCAGGTGAAAGAATTTTTAAAATCAGTCTAGTAATTTCAGAGCCAACCATTGCAAACAAACAAACAAACAAATTTTGCCTATTTATCATATTAGTATAGATATAGGAATCGTATTCTATCGTAGACGTTGACGGGTACGCGTGCTATACACGACTTCGCGCCGATACAACTAGTGGCGGCCGGCGGCTCCGCCTCCGCAGTGCTCGGCGTAGACTTCGCGGACACCATACAACCTATAGAATTCACCATCGCTTGCTCAGTGGGTATGTGCAACTTCGGACGTTTTATCTTTTGAATAAGAAATATTTTGTACACGGTGATGTTCCCGCTATTGGAGTACAGACACTTTTATATAAAATCAACCTCAGCGAGGATTGGTGGGTGTAAACGACTGTAAATACTTAAAGGAACTCCAAATACTAAAATAGTAAACTACATCTTTGTCACCTGTGAACCAATTTTTGTTTGTTTGAAAGGATCATATTCCCAAGGGGAAATCGGATTACAATTTTCATTTTTATATAATTAAAACAAGAAGAATTACCCTTTTTAAATTATTTTGACGGTGTTATTGAAAATAAAAATTCAATTTTCAAAATTCTTTTTTTATTAGACATGGACTGTGGAGGTCCAATTTAAATTTTATCGAAATCGAATCAGTAGCTTTCCTTTATGACAAAACAAAATACGCTTCTAACCAGATATCATCTAAATATTTAAATGATATGCATTATTTTACGTGTATCTCAGCTGAAAAACAAAAGATTGCGTATTTTGAACTCATTCAAAATATGCAATCTTTTGTTTTCTTGAATAAGTCACTTTCGAGATTAATATTATTTTTCACTTTTTTTAAGAATCAGTTTTTATTAAGAATCGTTTTCCATGTTTTTGTTTTATCCGGTTTTACTGTTATTAAAATATTTGCTAAATCGTTCCATCTAGGTGAAGTACCGGTGTCAATAACTCCACCGGTGGGTGAGCTGATGCGCGCCGTCACCATGTCTCCCTCGCGCTGGGACGCCGAGCACAAGAAACTTAGAGGCATGACCGAGGTATTGAACAGGGGGGCGCCAATATAGTAACAAAAATTTTCCTGGGGTAAAGGAAAAGTAGTAATGATGTTTTTTTCTGAGTCACCGAATATATTTCAGATTAACTAGATAAAAATAAAAAGTGCCTTGCTGTTTCTCTAGATATTGCAAAAGTGTTTGGTACGGTGTCTACCCCTATATTATTATCTAAACTTGAATCAATTGTAATACGTAGTACCTAGCTTAAACTGTTTAATAGTTATTTATGTGATAAATATCAGTGTGTGGAAGTTGGTCATCACATTAGCAATAATCCAAAATTAACACATGGTGTACCTCAGGGGAGTATACTTGGTCCTACCCTCTTTCTGATTTATATTAATAGTCTTCTCTAATAAAAGGGCCGTTATTTTTATTACAAATTATTGTAAAACAACACTCTGTAGTAGCCTATAATCCACAAATTGAAACAGTTCGGAGGAAACGTACAGTGTGTATGTTGAAGGAGAAATATAACACCGCTTTTGGTCATAGATTCTTTAGTTACTTAGATCGTTTTGTTTACAATAAGGTGAATAAAATATGAAACATCTATCCCATATCTAAAATAGAATGCAGAAGAAAAGAAATGAAGTTCTCGGTTTCATACGAAGAAACCGAGAACTTCATGGTTTCGGTGCTATGACGTCAGTAACTTATATACGTTTGGCCATTACCTATAAAAGACGCGCGCACACACACACACACACACACATATACACATGCATACGCACACATACACATACATATGCACAAAGAGACAGAGAGAGAGAGACACAAACTTATACACAAACACCACCAATTCGCTTTGGGCCCAGTACGGAGCGTTGGGTGGACTAGTTTCATGCATTAAGAATACCTGTGCTTAGCACCATCAATCCGCTCTGGGTCCTACACGCGGGCCCAGTACGGAATGTTGGGTGAATTGATTCCATCTATCATGAAGACCCGTGATCTAGCGAATTTGTATTCGCAATGGACCCACCACGCAGCCCTGTACGGATTACTGGAGGGACGGGTAGTCGTTCTAGAACTTTTTGTTAATGCCTCGAATACACTGGTAGGCCCGACCTAGAATGTTCTAAGCCCTAATCTCGAACCTTAAGTCGTAACAACATTCCTCATTATTGCCGTAAGAAGCTGTGACAGAGCTTAAATTGAAATCAGTAAGCCAAAAACATACATGTAACGAATAGTTTAATAAGAATAAAAAGGAAAAAAATTACATATTTAATTTAAAAAATATGCTGCACTTCATTTTAAAATTATGTCAATTTCGAAATGTTTGTCGTTTTGTTGGTACATTTTAACATACTTGCGTATTCTGTTATTTCTAATTTAAATGTAGAATTTTGTTCAATCTTTAAATCAAGTTTTTATTGCAGTGCAATAAAAAAGCGGTCAAACTAGAAGATGAAGCCGCCACGTGCCAAAGAGTATTCGAAACTGCTAATCTCGGACCTGTCACGGCGACTGGTGATCTACTAAGGTACAATAACAAACATACTACTCGTACGAATTAACATGACATCTGAAAGCCTATTCTATTTCTTCGAAAATGAAATTCCATCTGTTTTCTAAATGCTAATAATGCTCCATAGCAACGTATATTTGAAAAATTAATCTACTCATCTAAAAATACTAGGTAAATATACAGGTCAATGATATTTCAGATTCTCTGGTCGAATGTTGACGTCACAAGATCTCGTGTTGTTATCAGTGAAGATAGAGGATGATGCGACAGTCGTAACCGCGAACTGTTCAAATATGGCCATAGCATCGCTTCTAGCCAACCAGGTTGCCCAAGCGTTCGCTAAATCCTGAGACACATTCCACTGCAACAGGATCATCTTTTAAAGACAAAGTCAGTAAAGTCGAAAGTGCTACTGATATTTCTTAACACTTGAATGTTTCCGAAAGGGGGAATAGATATCAATAATTTAAATTAAGTTACTATTTACACTTTAAGAAAACTTTGGGAATCAAACAATGGTTAATCTCAAATACACTACCTTAGTGCTTAGATCATTGTAATTTGTTTTTTTTTTTTACTTCAATGTACTTTCAAAACTTGTTTATTTCTTAGGCATGTAAATTTATGTGTAATTTTTTTGAGGATTCAATTATATTATTCTTATTAAAGTAATCGCCAATCAGATCAAATAAAGATTATATAATGTAAATATTCGTAAGATGTCTTTTTTTCATTTTAATTAGGATATTATTATTCTTAAAACTACTAGTCTTAACGCAATTACAAAACACGAATAACTGAAAACTGTGACTTACTTACATTTAGTGGATTTAATATATTTAAATATATGTATGAAATTATCATTAGCATATTTACACTTAATTGTTACAATAATAAAAATTATTTATCCTACAACTGTTTTGTCTATTTTTACCCAACTGTAAATTATCGTTCTGGACAATGTTAATGTTTAATACACAATTTTTGAGTAAAGCGAAAACATAGTACTTTGAGCAAAAAATAATAAAAGCCAGATATCAATATCATATTTTTATTACATATCACTATTTTTAATCTTAAATTAATACTTTCACATGAAAATTCACCAGTATTGTCATGCTCTTTGAATTTACATAAATCCCTGCACTGAAGCGAGCGAGCAGGTCTCAAAACTGTAGAAAAATATTATTCTGCAAGCACTGCAAGATTTTAATCGATCACTCTCACCCAACACAACCAGCGAGAATCTAAGACACCGAAGATTCCCTGCGAGTTCACCGGGATAAAATTACCATGCCGTATTGGGAGAAAACCTACCTTCGAAGATATGTTCAATTTCAGAAGGAGCGAGCGTCACGTTTTCAACTTCCGACCACCCGATAAAGACTATAGTAATCACAACAATGCTATTCTCACTCTGAACTTTTCACTCCTCGATCTTCACGAATCACAATACACAATAGAAACTATCTACTGTTGGGGATAGGGAGCCCAGCCGTGGGTCATTCCTAAGCTGTAGTTAGCGGTGTGCATGGAGACGATGCGCGCACGTTTGCTGCCGTCGTCATGGTGCGGGAGAGGGGGCGCGGGGTGATGCGGCTGCGGCGGCGGGAGGGGGGGGTGCGTCTGCAGCTGATGGTGGTGGTGGGCGTCCGCCACGTGTCTGTCCTTCTTCGACATCCTCTTCTTGGGCGTGATGCAACACTCGGGCGTCACTATCCTGTCGTTCCACAGTCTCTCGGCTAGCGCGGACCTCGCCCTAGTTCCTTCGGCGTCTTCCACTTGCTTCCTCGGTATAGGTCCGTTGGCCACCTTCTGCTTCATCGCCTCCAGACGTTCCTCAGTCTGCGTCATCGGCACCACCGGCAAACCGCGCTGGTTGCACACGTTGTGGAGGACGCAGCAGGCGACTATGATGGCGGCGACCGTCGACGGATCGAATTGTTTGTTGCACGTCTCGAGACACTTCCACCGGCTCTTCAGCTGTTTGATGGTCTCCGTGATGGCGCCGTGTGCTTGGCTGTGCAGTGATGAGTAGTACTTTTCCGGCGACGCTGGGGTTTTCTTGGTGATTTTAGGTATAGGGGTCATCAGGTACGGTTTCTGTGTGTAGAATGGTCCACCTGTAACAACCAGGATCTTACAAATTCCACTCGCACAACTATGATGACTTTATTTTTGCTTGAGACTAAAGACTACCTGCGCTGCGAAGTATGCCGCCTCGCAAATCATATGGCTTATTATTATGGAAATATTTACACAGTTTATATATTACTTACAAAATCAGGCTAAGTCATATACAATTGTATTAGAAAAAATAAGAGTGAGTATAATAAACATAATTATTTAATTTTCAAGCACACTAGTCGTTCAATAAAACAATTTTAAATAGTTTCAGTATGTTTAATTTGTATTTGCTTTCATGACGTTACAGACTTTATAGGTGTCCATCATGATAGTAAACCTTAACGCGCTAAATGCGCTGAAACTTTTAAAGTCATTTTATTTAAACATAATTATTATTGACAGTACCTATGAGCCAACAATATTCGCCTGAGTGGTTTACACTCTCGAGATCTATCTTGACCGCGTGCCTGTTAAGTATCGCGTCGCACGTGTATGATCCACCTGCGCTCGCGTCCACGCTTATTACGTTTAGCTCACTATCGCAGATCTGTTAAAAAAAATGCCTTATTTGTTATTCAAATAGAGGGTGAGAAGGGTTTTAAAGAATGATTCTCTCTAAAAACACACATTCGCATTGTTTGCCATTAATTTTATTTATAACAAATGTAAATGAGTTAGAGATACTGCATCCATAATGCTCAGCTGATGAAGCTGATCGTAAAGCATCTCTCTATAAAAAAAAACTTCATTTCTGTATCAAAAAAATGAGTCATGTTATCCCTGTAGCTCATCTGGCTAATTTCATCTTAAGACAATATTAAAAAGTATCAGAAATTCACTTACAATCTGAGCCTTTTTTGAATGATAAGATTTATTGAAGTGAACTTTTTGGTCATCATCTGGTCTTGATATTGGCACATGTGTACAGTCAATACATCCAACAATATTGGGTATACCATATTTCATGTAAAATCTAAAAAAAAAGTATTTTAAGTGTATTTGAAACAAGTTTCACAAAACAATTTGGAGCCTGGTATAATTTCTGATATTAAAATTAAAATAAAATTTGAGAAGTCTAAATTTCACTATTTTCAATAACTTTTTAAATTACTTGAATATCAAGGTATTTTCTAAAACACAACATATAATAAGTTTATATATTAACTCGAGATGTTTTTGTGATTTCCTCCACATACATTTTAGGCTATGTCATCTACATAGTAATAAAGAATTATATGGTAGTAAAGAATTTTTCAAATCAGTCCAGTAGTTTCAGAGGCTATTCGATGCAGTCTTGAAAAATATTAAACACATATTTTTTACACAATAAATAAATTATGGTGATACACCTTTGTACATTTTCTACAGAGCTGTGACATAGCAAGCTGGGAGCTTGTCGACTTTAACGTCTATAAAGCCATTTCTCATCATAAATTGGAGCTAAAAGTATGTATCTATATTTTCCTGACTGATGACTAAGTTAAATTCCTTTTTTTTTCTACCTAGGTGATCATTCCTATTCTTTTTTATTTGATAACAAACCTTGTTTTTATGATATCTCTTTCACTTCTCAAATGAGGAAAGTGAATATATTTTTTTACAATTGAAGGATGGTTGATAGCTTCTGTGACTTGTTGCACTGCAGATCCAACAAAATACTGTGTCAATGTGGGATCACTTCGGCCACCTATTGATTTTTGAAATTTTCCTGATGCATAGAAAGATAAAGCTGCAAGTACCTAAATAAAATAGGACAGAAAACTGTGATGAACATATTATTATCGACTTCTTATACAAAATGCATGAAATCACACAAAAAAACGAGACAACAGAGAAAACAAACACTGACTTTACTCTCAACAGAGAATTCAATAGATTTAGTAGTTTCAGGCATCACTGGCGTCACTTCCTCAATAAGACTCCGCACTAAGTCTTTTGGTAGCCTATATGTCTCTAAAAAAGTAGGATCTGGAAGATCAAAAGGCTCCACATCCACTTTCAAAAGTCTTTTGTCAGGACTTTTTACTTTCTCGACAGGTCGTGTTTCGTGCTGTTTTTGTGTATGAGAATTGTCCCACTTAAGAAGTTCGAATATCTCTGGCTCTTCGTCTACTACTGATATATAGCCTTCCTCTGGTGGTTTCTCAGCCATATCAAGTATTTATTATTTACTTTCAAAATCGTAGCAAACGCAGCTTGGAACAATTGATTGACAATGACAGATTAAAATGCAACACAGATTAAGAACTTAATTTTATGACTGACACTGACAGTAATGTACAGCAACCATAACCTACAAATTTTGTCCTAGTCTATAACGCAATTAGATATGTTGCCATATGCGATTAGTTAGTTTTTGATGCATAAAGCTAGATTATTTATTTAAAAATTATGTGACTGATTTACGAAAATTTGTCCACCTTTAACGAAGAATACAGGAGATACGCCATGAGCAAAGGCAGTAGTTTTGAGAGAATATCGAGGAATCATTTACGTCGACTTCGCAGTGCGCCGCCGGCTCAATGAAACTTGATGCCCTACAGTTGGGTCACTATAAGAAGCCACATTTGATATCTATCAATATGAAATCCATAGTGAGGTATTCTGCTTAAAATATTCGAATAATACCCATTGATTATATAATACTTAGATATGGTTTTATAACAAATGTGAATGAGGAAGTATTTAAAACAAAACATAAGCTCCCGAAATCAAATTAGATGTCGCTACGATACTTTCTTGATTTCTCCTTATCAACCCTTCCGGTTTTCTTTCATGTATAAAAGTAAATTAGTTTTCAAAACTCAATAAACAATTAACATTTTATTTGTACTTTTTCGTATTTGTATTGATATCTAAGTTTCGAACTTTGCAAATTTCAGTTTTTGAAATGTTAGTTAAAAGGAACGGAAATTACTCTCTTTGGGCCATTCGTTTCCTGCAAAAATCAACTTTTACTAGAGTCACCATCTAGGGGAGGTGCTTTTTAGTGCTTCTTTTTTTAAAATACTTCCCCATTGAATGCTTTTACTGCCTAAATAATATCGATTATGATAGGCTTATTCAAATATGTATATAACATTAAGCGTGAACGGTTTAAAAAATATTGGATTATAATAAAACTAATAACGTTGACGACTATGATGTATCAAAATTCACTTCCTCGTAACTTAAAATTACCAAAACCAGGACATAATCTTCAAATGGTCAAAACCAGGTCTTCTGCCTTAACTTTGTTATTTTGTTCTATAGATATTATAAAATCTTGTTTTATATGTAATAGAATCCTTCCAAATAT